TCCAACTGGAAATGGCATAGCAATTGTATTCAAAATGTAGCTGCTTTGCCGGGTATCCAGAAAACCAATGCCACCTTCTTCCGTGCCAAAACCGATCTGAACAAAAAATTGAGCTAAGCTGATTGTTGCAGCATACAAGTGACGAGGTCCAACTGACGAGGTCCAAATGTGGTAACGGTAAGAAATGTATACGACTTAATGGACCGAAACATTTCTTACCTAATTTAATACTACTTCTTTTTTACGTCTTCCACTTTTCTACCTTTTTTATCTTTTCTATCACCGTTTTTTACATTTTTCAACAAAATTTTCATCCAACTTTAAAAAAAAGTAATATTAAGAACTTAAATATTTTGGTAGGAATAAAACGAACTATGTATTGATGGATGTAGGGAAATATAGCTGGTATAGGAAAAATAAGTTAAATTCCGCCAAGTGCAAATTATTCCGTTTACATAAAAGTGAACTAACCAAATTGCGTTCAGCTGGATGAGCGGTAACAGCTGTGGCACCCTGGAAGTATTCCGTGACACGCCACGAAAACGTTGGCTTCGCTAGCGGTGCCGTTTCTTTTCGTAGATCCCACAGACAGATCTGGCCGTCCAGATGAGCCGAAACGAATATCTGTTCACCGATTGTTTCAATCGAGCGAACACTTGCCAGACCCTGAAAAAAGCCTTGATCCCGGGCAAGGCAGAACAAAATGGACCGATGTAACTAAATTTGCTGTGATTCTGCCTTGAAATTCTGGAGGAATTTTTGACAATTGATAATGTTATTTAAGAAAATAAAAGAAAAATACACAAAATTTGCAACAAGAAATATTGGAAATTCAAAAATAACTCGTAAGCGGCCCAAAAGTTAGCCTCCCCCCCCCCCCCTCACCTTCACTTTCTATAACAGGCGATGGTGGTGGGAGAGTAAAAACCTACTGGAAGAGTAGTAATTTAAATTTAAATATTTTACGGTTATAAAAAAGGTTGTAACAAAGTAAAAAATAAAGATTGTAACAAAATAAAAAATAAAAAAAAAGCAAAAAATAATAAAAAATAAAAACTGAACTGGAATGTTTCGGTCCACAAAAAAATAGATAAACTCATCCTTAAAAACCACTCAGAATAATTTGTAGCCGTTGGAAGGCCGAACTATAGTCTTAAAATAGGAAAGGCGGGAAGGGCCCCAGAGGCCCAAAACCTTAAAAACAAGCAAACAAAATGTGGAGTGGCCAGAATCCGGAAATTTAAACCTAGATGGGCCTAATTGTTTTATAAGATGAAGTTATTATGTAATAGAAAAGGTAGTAGGGCGATTCATGTGGCAAAAAAACCCAGCATGACATGTTGAAAAGTCATGTGGGAAGAAATATGCAGGAAAAGGTCTGTCTGTGTTTCATCCCTTAGCTGTAAACACTGATAGTATAAGCTGCGGTTTGGAGCGGGAATCATCAGTACAGCCCTCTAATCACCATGTAACTACGTTAGGTAACAATTTTGGAGCTAAATGATATTGGCTTCAACTTCTCTCATACTAAATCCGCTTCGCCATGGATTCGAACAGATGAGTTTATATAGAAGTGGAATGCCCCACCGGTGGAATCAAACCTTCAATCTCCAACACGACAGCAGCACCATTTGCCATTAAGCAAACACGTTAGTAGCCCAAAAACAGATCGGCCACGAATAATTTGAAAACATATCAAACACAGTTTAAAAATGAATCATAAATAAATCAGAGTAGATTAAAAACATCCAAAAAAAAATTTCTTAAACGTCTTATCTCACTCTTATCTCCTTCTCTATTACTGTAATCTATTGCGCCTTCGCTATTTAGGCTTCCAAGGTCAACCTGATTGCTACAGTCTGCTTAAAAAAAAGGAATCACAATAATCAAACCGTAGAAATGATGTCAGTAGAGCCAGTTTCCAAGCATGTTGCAACTAGCGTACCACCTTGGCCACCAGAGATCACTCGGCCACCGTTGAAACACAGTGCGTTGCAGGAGCATTCTGCATGTAAATTGCTGTAGACTGTGACCGGTTCGATGACACCTTCGTCATAAGCAACCACCCTTACCGAACCATCGTTCATTGCAGCCGCAAATCTCTTCGCATCGCAAAGCCTGAAGACGGCGCAAACAATCCTGACACACTGGGGAGCGACAGAAAAAAAAGTGGAAAGGATGTCAGAAAGCTACTTCACTCCAAATAGTACATTCTCATAAATGCAATATGTTAAAAGATAACAGGTCTTGCAAAAGGAAGAAGGTGCTAGCAGTAAGGAAACGAAGATAGTGGCTAAACCCCCTTCGCCTTGCCCAGTTGTCCTTCGGTCACCTGTAGCATGCAAATGTCCCGTCTCTTGACTCGAGTTCCTTCACTCCGTGATATTTAATGTGGTGATTAGAAATGAAGTTAAAATTGTTTTTTGGCACTAAAAGTTGTGCGGCGGCAGCGCTTGGAGCTGCTGCCGGGTTTTTTTCGTGGTTTTTTTGTTTTTTTGATTTTTCCTCGTGGTTATGCGCTGCTTTACTAATAAAGAATTGTTGATTAGTTTAGGCGAGAGCCACCTCACAGCCGCGCAGGCCGCCAGCCGCCCCCCTCCTGATTGTTATACAGGAAATTAAAAAAAAAAAAAAATGAAAATCTGGAAATCACAACGGATTTTTAACGCCTCCATGGCACAAACGGAATGTCAAAAAAAAGAAAAAAAAAAAGAATTATTTCACTCCAAAAAGAATATTCTCACAACGCAATATGTTAAACCATAACAAGAATTCGAAAAAAATCTAAAAATCGCAATCGAATTTTAACGTTTCCATGGTAAAAAGGCATTTTCCTCCTGATTCTGCACCTATTTTTTGCCACTAAGTTAACTATTTTAGTGTAATTCCCTACCAACAAAAATTTTGCACCCTCTTACTTAATTTTTCATATTTATTTTAACTTAAAGGAGCCATTTTTGAGATTTTTTTAAGAATATTTTCTCCTCACTCTACTACAAGTTCTCTTTCAACAAACAGAACGTAATATTTTCTCCTTATCACACTGCAACCTCTCTTTCCTTCCTACACCAAAAGTAATAAGAGATTTTCCCCCGTACGGAAAATCGCTAACTTGGGAACCAGAAAAGCTAGGAAGCTGAAATTTTAAGGGAATTTTCCCCGTCCATGCACAACTTAAAAATATCAATTTTAGTCCCAGGTTCTCATGTACGGCCCTTGTATCATAAGCAATAAAAAATTTGTATTCAAGCTAAATCTAACAGCAAAGAACGGGTAAAATAATAATTTTTTTCAGGCCATATGTAATTCGGGGAAAAAACAGAGCAATCTTACGAAAACTGGGCAAAAAAACAGCAACATTCGAAATATTTATGAAAAAAAGTAGAGCTTACACCAAATCATTCACATCAGTTGAAACTTCCAATTTGCACTCACAGACGCACAAATCGTCCGCATCGGAATCAGTACCTGAATTAATTACATGCCAATTCAAGCCAAGCTAATATGAAAATTAGAAAAAACAACATTTCAAAGATTAGAAAAGCAGCAAAAGCACAAAACTTCTGCAAAAGAGCTGCTAGTGCGAAGATGTATTTTTTTTTTTTTTGCATAGATCTCCGCAGGTTTTTGTCGCTATCGGCATCGCTTTTTCGGTAGATCCTTCTAGCTAAACAAATAAAGACTGGCCGCAAAAACTGGCAGGAAACTCCCCTTTAAAATTTCAGCTTTCTAGCTTTCCTGTTTCCCGAGTTAGCAACTTACCCACGAAAAACTTTCACGGGTCCGTACGTAGGAACCACGTAAGTAACAGCACCCATTTTCGAGACGGTAGCCGGCATGTGGATGTAGATTAAGTTCTCAAAGTTTCAGCCCTGTAGCTTTTGTAGATCTCGAGATGAAAAATCGGTACAGACGCACATACAGACACGCACACAGACAATCTCTCGACAATATGAGTTTTTGCATTGCATAAATGCAAAAAAAAAAACCACATAAAAACACTGCAGTGAGTACAGGACTGCGATATGAAAAACCGGTACAGACGCACATACAGATACGCACACAGACAACCTCTCGACAATATGAGTTTTTGCACTGCATAGATGCAAAAAAAAGCATAAAAACACCATACTGATCTGGATCCAGTAAATTAAATCTCCTACTTTTCCGCCAAAAACACCTATCACTCAAAATCGAGAAAAATTTCCTAATTTTTACTTCGAAAATGCACAAAAACCGTCAGAAACGAACAATATCTTGGGGTCTGAGGAATGAAAAACGTTCAGATTTACCTTCGATCATCGACCATGCCGCTATTTCACTGCTCCTGCAATCATACGTGGATGTCAAG